GTGATGTTTTCATATCATATATATATATATATATATATATATATATATATATATATAAACTTTTATGTTATATAGTGTGGTCACCAGCATTCTAGCCAGAATGCTGTAAAATGAAACTGCAGCACTTCCTATGTGATGCAGCCTTTAAAACTAACATATAAAAATCAAGGAGGATGAAGACAGGGGAAGGTGGCCATGGTGGGAGTCCCATTCACAAATTAAATGAGACTGGTAGAGGTTTATAGAAAAGAAAAAATGATCACTTAAGGCAACTATTTTCAACTGGTGTGCCCTGGCAGGCACACCGCTACATGCAGAATTTTATAATTAGTTTATGTGTGCCGTGAGATGAAAAAAGTTGAAAATTGCTAACTTAGGTTTTTGGTGTGTTTTGTAGCAGAAGTGGAAAAGTCAGGAAAAGTCAGGAAACTTGGGTTCTAATTCTGGCTCATATACCAGTTCTTTATGGGAAGGCTCTGGGCCAGGAAGAAACCTAGTCTTTAGAGAAACTGAAAGAAAACCAAAGAGGCTGAGTGATGATGCCACAGAGTTAAAGAGAAAGAAGGCTGAAGAGGTGGGCGGGGCCAGTGGCGCTAGGATTTGTGATTTATTTTATTGTATTATAAGTACAGTGGGAAATTATTGAAGTTTTCTAAGCAAGGTGATGAGATGACTAGGTTTAGTTTTTAGGAGCTTATTCTGTTTGCCTCATATCCATAAAAATAGGAGGTATGAGGAGGGTGGTTTCTTCATTTTTGTATCTAAGAGTAAATAACTCAGAGATCTACACATAAAATATTTTCAATAAATGTCTTTTTGATTAAAAAGAAATACTAACAATACGTGTAATGTCATTCTACCTGGAAAAGTTAAAAAAAAAAAAAGCCAGTAGGCATAGGAAAGAAACATTAATTTTCTGTAGGTGACAGATGACTTTAGAAGTGATGCTATTTTTCTTTCTAATTTTCTGTATTTTCTATAATACATGTCTTTTACTTTAGTAATCAGGAAGAGACTTAGGTATGGCTTTATAATTTCGCTTATTTTATAATATATGTACCTACTTAAATAAACTGATTGAAAAATAGAAATGTAATTTACCTACAGTTTTTGTAGGTTTTTAGATGGGCAGGGAAGGCCATACCAAGCTATGTTAACAAATTATTTTTATGAGTTTGTAAATTTTTTATCTTATCAACACAATTTCTACAGGGGAGAACACAATTGGAGCAAATAAGGCACTCCCCATACTACTTTTACATTCCTGCCTCACAATTCATTTATTCAAAAGATGAAAAGCATAACTATAACCTGAATTACTTGATTAATTATTTTTAATTTGCTTCTTACATTTTATGTATAGACTATAGAAAATGTAAAACTTAATACTGATAATAATGTATTTAGGTGATACAAATGTTTGAATTTTGATACACTAAACAAAATTAGCAATTGTTTTGATGATTCTTCTAAACTTTAAAGAAAATACTTTTAAAAGCACATTAAGAAAAAATTTTGAGGTCATATAGTTTTTTATTCTCACATAATCTATGATTTATATCCTTTTTATAGAGGAAAAGACCAACTGGATAAAAATTTTGGAAGATATGTGTGTGTTATTTAATAGTTCTCTGTTTTTGTTCTATTCAAACATAATATTGACTCTTGGCTCTTGCCAGCATACTTCTTCTTTATTGTCTACCTTCTTTCACACATCTGAGTGTATACCAGGGATGGTTTGCGGATTTATGGTCGCTAATATGTGACTTGTCATCACCAATGACTCTGGCCATTGATGCCCTCCATTCTGCAGAGGGCCCTTGCCTTGTCCACACAATTACTGGAGATTTGCTGAGAGCCCTTGAAGGACCAGAAAACTGCTTGTTCCCGCGCTTGATTTCTGTCTCCAGTGAAGGCCACTGTATCATATACTACGAACGAGGGCGATTCAGCAATTTCAGTATTAATGGAAAGCTTTTGGCTCAAATGGAAATCAATGATTCAACACGGGTAAATCTGCATGTTTAGTACTAAATAGAGACTAAAACCAACAGATTAAATATTAACTATTTTAAGTGATTTATATTAGGAGTCATAATAGAATTTATCTGATATTCAATAAATATGTGCTGGTTTTAAAGACCTATAAATTCATATAAGTTCTTTACATTCTACCAAGGGTGACTGGATTCTTTGAACAAACCCAAAGTTCATTTAACCCCAAGTAATTAATTCAGTGAATTAGGCTTTGCAGATAATAGCTGCTGTTTGATTAGAGGTTAGACTCTTAAAGAGATTTTTTAAAACTCCTTTTACACAGTTTTAAACAGCTGTGTCAGTGCTGTATCCCCTGAGTTTTTGGAAAAGAATCTTACTTTTAGGACCGTAGACCAAAATTACATATACCAAATTATCCTTCACTCACAAATAAATTGTAATCCCTGGTTTATCATTATTAAAAACCGTATTGAAATATGCTTCTGCCATTTGTTCTAAAAGTCTTAACATTGTTAATATTCGGGGCTTAACAAAACATCATGTTACTTCGTTCTCAACTTCTTCCTGGATTAGATTGATAATATTCTCTTTGGGACTTCTGTTATTTTGTAACATAAATTGGTTTTAATAAGATCCTTTGTTTATATAATAACTTTGATGAATTCCACATTGGAAATTCCATGGATCAGACTTTAGAAAACTTGGACAAATGACTAAAAGTTGATAATAATTACAAGGGAATTGTATTGAGTACTTTTTAGTACTGACCACTGATTGGGAAACACTGGGAGAAATGTCTATTTTTCTGCCTTTTCTGAAGGCAATTCTCCTGAGCAGTGATGGCCAGAACCTGGTGACTGGAGGGGACAATGGTGTGGTCGAAGTCTGGCAGGCCTGTGACTTCAAGCAGCTGTACATTTACCCCGGATGTGACGCTGGCATTAGAGCAATGGATTTATCCCATGACCAGAGGTGAGCCGCAAGGGGAAGTGTAATCACTTGAGAATGGTCATAGAAAGTTCTTTACATTCTACCAAGGGTGAAACATGCTGTAAGATTCCAGCATCCAGATGGAAGAAAGACTAGTTCAGAAAAGGGTAAGTTGAAGAGAAGAGTAAGTGCTGTAATAGAAGATTCTGGCAACAGGAAAACAGAAAACAAAAAGAAAACAAAGGGAATAGGGAGTCTGAAAACGAACAGGCACAGCCAGAAACTGCCCAAAACAGAATAATCCCATCAACATCTCTGCTCTCATACCCTCCCCTAGGCTCAGCCAGGCCTCCCTGGCTTACATGATGTAAAGGAGACAGTTTCAGCAGAGCTGAGCTTCAGCTTCAGGCGTACTTCCCACTAACTAATTACCAGAAAAATTTACAGTGTAGACTACAGTTGGCGCCTGCTTTAAAAGATGCAAGGTATTTCCTCATTCCTCAAAACAACCCCACCCCATTTTCTTATTTACATTTTTCTCAATTATGTTATTTTATTGAGTTTTATGTGTTTCCCTGAGAACTACAATCTTTTCTTAATTAATATGATTTTTCATTGTTCCTTAGTTTGCAACAGGATTTTGCTATTTCCTAAAATTCACCTTTGGGTTTATTATTTAGTGAAAAAACTATTTAGAATATAAAATCTTAAAATTCTTAAATTTTAAAAATAAATTAAAACTGTATAATTTTAATATGGTATGTAATTTCTCATGTTTTGCTATACACAGGGAGGGGCAAAAGTAGGTTTATAGTTGTGAATATGTGAAACAAAGATTATTCTTATATTGTTATTTATTAATTATTATATTGTTTTCCATATGAACAACTGTAAACCTACTTTTGCTCCACCCTCTATTTAACAGAAAAAAGAAAAGCTTATTAGTCAACTTTTTCAACTATATGTATATTCTTTATAAGAATATTGATTTTAAAATATTATAAATATTAAGGCTTATGTAATAAATTTAACAAAGCATCTTTATAATATAGTAAAATGGTATTGAAGTAATAAAAAAAGCATAATTTAATTTAGTTTGAAGAAGGGATATTTCATCTGCAGCTCAGACTGTTTTTAAAGAAAATTGAAGCAGATTATTCTTAGAGTGTTCTAAGATGCTGTAGTCTATACTAATGAATAAATAGGAATGGCTTACTGGGTAATTACTTATATATGCAAGAATGTTTTTAAAGTATTTGAAATAATTTGTGTTCTTAAGTAGTTGAACTGTTCTCTCTGATATTCTTACTTATTCATCATATATTCAGGTTGCAAACATTTGCTACCACCATCATAGATTAAGCAGGATACAACACATAATAAGATTACTGGCCCCAAAGAGCTCAAATAACCAAAATTGTATGTGAGAGCAGCAGGGACAAAATAATAGACCTGATACTTCTTGAAGGGTGGAGAGGGTAGAAAAGGCTTTCTCTAGGTGTGGGGAGGTGGGTCAATCAGCATATGCAAAGTCACAGTAGAGTCAGGGATCACTGAAGAGGACTAAGGACAGATACTATCAAGTTTCTATGTCCTTATAAAAACAAAAATAATCTCATCCTTAATTTCAGTTATTTTTGTATTTTATAATTCCCTATGTTGGACTTATAGCACATTCACATAAGTTATGAATTGGTAGATAAACATATATTGAGGGTGCATACTTCGAAGTGCTTATCTGACAAGATGTCCTATCAAATGTTTAGCGATACTTGGTCTGGCAGTTCAGGTATGTGGGGTTGATTTAGCTTCACTCATGAGAACCACAAATACATTTTAATCCTATCTCGGTGAACATGCTTTGAGATGTGGTGAACTTTGAGATCATGATCATGTCTAGTGTAAAATAGCAACCACATCAGTGTGATTTGTGTCACTCTTAATTCTATCTCTGCTTTCCCAGGACTCTGATCACTGGCATGGCTTCTGGTAGCATTGTAGCTTTCAATATAGATTTTAATCGGTGGCATTATGAGCACCAGAATAGATACTGAAGACAAATGAAGAACCAAAAGCCAAGTTAAAACTGAGAGCACAAGTGCTGCATGGAAAGGCAATATCTCTGGTGGAAAAACTCGTCTCCATCGCCTCCGTATGTACATTCCATCACACCCAGCAATAGCTGTACATTGTAGTCAGCAGCCATTTTACTTTGTGTATTTTTTCATGAATAAATACCAGCTTCTACCAAGCAAGCTTTTATCATGTAAATTATAAGAATTGGGAAATGTTTTGGTAATTATTTCATATATTGTGGTTAAATGAGAAAAGGTAGTAAGACGCACAAGAGACTTTTGACAATTCTGAGGAACCTCGTGTCCAGTTGTTACGAAGTTAAGCTCTGAACCTAACCCGCATCCCATTTCCAGCCTCTTTTCAAGCTGAGAAAGAAAAAAAAAACATGTTTGATACTTTGTACATCAGATGCATCTTATTTAAAGGGATACTTTTGTAAAAGTAAAACCTTGTATAAAAAAAACAACCACAATGTTTCTTAATTTTATTGTGGAGTTACAACTTGCATGCTCTTTAACCCTGATGTCTTGATGGAAAAGGTGCATCCATACTATGAAACAGAAAGATCTGTCCAAGGACACAGCTCATATAAAATGGTTGTATTTGGGATCAATCGGTAATCTTTGACATTTTCGCTAAAATATGGTATGTACTTTTTAATCTAAATTCATCCCTTCCAAGTGAAATTTGGTCATAAAGCATTTGGATACTAAGCCATTATTTGCCATTTTTTGGTACTTTATACATAGAAAATTCAGCCCCACCCATCATAATTTGAAGACACAGCAGAAAGGGGAATTAGGGATGAGGTCTGGGTTTTTATTGTATAAATAGAGTCATGATCATTAGTTCAATAGTAATGACTTCCCAGCTTCTGGACATTTCTTCCAGAGTCATCTGCTGGCTTCATCTCTTTACATTAGGGGAAGAGAATCTGATGCCTTTTGGTTGTTGTTGTTCTTGCTGTTTTGTTTTTCCCTTTGGTTCTTGAATAGCTTAGTTTCTTTAATAACAAGTTGGACTTAATCATGACAATAACTAAAGTTATTATTTTAGGTTTCTGTGAAATTCTCACCTAAAGCCACATTCCTAAGGCACTTCATCTTTTATGATATAAAATTATGGCTATCAAATTATTTTCCATACATTGTACTGATCAAGTTATATACCCAAGGGTATATACACTTTATTTATGTTTCTTCTTTGTATATTTGGTGACTGTATTGTCATAGATGTACATATTGTGTCAGTAGGGCTATGAGGCATGTTACAGGAATGTAATTTTCTCAGAATTTACACTTACTTGCAGTCATTTATTTAAAAAGATAAAACAGGATAATGGTTTCTTTCTATTGGCACTTTGCACCAGAAACATATCATTATTTATTTATGTGATTACTTATTTGTTATTCACCTGTACTAGTAAGTTTTAGAACTGAATTCCTTTTTCATTGTTGTTTGTATTTATGAAATCCTGAAATTGTGGGAAATCAGAGTAATGATTAAGTTATTCATCACCAGGCTGTAAGCAATATCTTGAGTTTGTAGCTTAGAATTGGGAGGACACAGAACATCTGGAAGACAAGTTCATTTCATCTTGAGATCATGGTGGAATATTTTGGATATATAAATTCCTTAAGCTATTGTAACCATGTTTTATTGCAAAGATGTAAAATACGCCAGATGTGTGTGAGTTGGATATCAACAAATGAAAAATAAAATATGCAAAGAATTGACTGATTGCTTTACATTTCTTTGGACACTTCACTTACATGCATTCATTATGTTGTCATACATGTTTACGAAATGAACATCACCTTGTATAAAAGCCTATAGCATCTAAAACATGAAATCGTGTCGTAATGAGGTTCTGTCATTTGCTAAAACATGAGCTGCTCTGCTTGGCCATCTGGCAGGGATTTGGGGCATCAGTGATTGGAGGGAAACTGCCCTTGTTGTTTCTTTTATATAACCCACATTGGGTGTTATTTTTTTTTTTCCTAAGGAACTAAATGCAGGTGATGGTGTAGGGTTTAATTTCTCGTTACATGAATATTATCAGATAATGCTATAATCATTTGAATCACACTTTCTAGAATTTCTCATCCACCAGGCATGACCAGGACTGACAGGCCTGGAGGAGCAGGGTGGACGGCAGGAGCCATCTGGGGAACTTCTAAAATTCAAATTGGTGTGGGCAGTGGGAGCAGCAACCCAAACAGGCCCAGGGAGTGACAAAACTGCCAGTAAACTGCCATCTGCATTCCCAGGACAAAAGGAACAGAACCAACAGTAGCCCAAAAGAGACTTGCTACTATCACTGTCCCTCCTAGCTTCACACCAGAAGTCTGTCAGTCATCGTAAGCCCACTGACTCACTAAACCCAGCCCTCTTGCAGGCCAGTTGGTTGTTACCTACAGGTCTCTTTAAATTAATACACAGCCCTTTCAGAACCATCATCTGGATTGTCACCAAAATCTTGACCAATATCTGAGTCTCACATCAAACCTCTCCCTAACATAGTCCATCCTGCTGCCATAGGGTCCGACTACACTACCAACATATTCCTTCCTCTGCTGAGTGCCCTGCGTGGCTCATCATATTAGTAAGCTCTGCTGGGTGAAAAATGGCTTGGGAGCTTATTTTTAAGAGCAGAATCTATGCTTCCAGGTGATTCTGAGGTGAATCATCCTTGGGCATATTTTCAATAGTATTAGTGTAAGAAATGAGGTCCAAACTCAGCTGAGCATAGAAGTGAGGAGGGAAGCATTCTTGGCTGTCATCCTGATAATCTCACCTCAGGCAAACCCACCTATTTATGAGTCCCTGAGAATGGCCCTGCCTTGGTCCCTAGTGTCTTTTCTGCCCAGAGAGCTCCTCTTTGCCTGTACTATCTAGTTGAACTCCTTGAGGTAAATTGACCTAAACCAATTTGGTCAGGCACAATCTTTTGGGCAGGTAAAGGGAGCCCCCTTACCCCAAATTCTCACTATATGATGATGAAATCAGTTCTCAAGATCAATTTCTGCCATATATAATATCTTTTCATCAGACAAATTTTAGCAAGGAAGCATAAGACCTCTTTTCTGTGAGCTTGGGAGGTCCAGTACCTTTTGAGGTGATCTGCCGATCATTTTCCCTAGAAGGTTCACTGGAAGAAGACACACCAATATTGGAGAAGCAGGATCCTATTATTCTTGTAATGCCACCAGCAACAAGAATCTTCCAAACCTTCATTTAGGTATCAAACCTCAGGCACAATGCTAAAAGCACAGTTAAATCTTGGTTCTCGAAAACCTCTCGTCGAGAACAATACAGTTCTAGACCAAGTTGTTCATGGGAAAAAAAATGTCTAGTTTGTAGAACAAAACTTTGGTTTTCAACCTGACAACCCTTTCATGCTACCTCAGCATGACAAAAAGCATCTCTCAGGCAACAAAGGAGAGAATGCTTTTGTTGCTGGCAAAATTGAGGATTAGCACAATTTTAAAACATAAAGAGGCCATCAAGAATGCTGATGTTGCTAAGGGTGTGAAAGTATTCACAAAACAATGATCACAGGCAATTGAAGAGGTAGAAAAACTGTTGTTGATTTGGATAAATGAAAAGCAATTAGCCAGTGACAGCATCCAGGGTATGAAAAAGCAAAAATACTGCATACTGACCTCCTGAAAGACACCCCTGGAAGGAGTGCTGAAAGTGATTTGTTTAAGGCTAGGAGAGGGTGTCCAATAAATTTTTAAAAAGAAGTGTTTATTTCAATATTAAATCAAATATTAGACATTCACTGTATATAAGAAAGGTTAAAACGGGGAATCATTTGTGGGTCTGGAATGGATTAATTCAATTTACATTATTTCCAACGGGAAAAAATGATTCAGTTTTCAAACAAATCACTCTTTGAGCAGCCTTCCTGGACAAATTAAGTCCAAGAACTGAGGTGTTACCATGTAGGCTAAAAGCCACAGTAGATCTGTACACTCTAATTATGGACTGCTGGAAAGGTCTCTGAAATACTGTAGCCAGTGTATATTGAATTCACATATAGGGTGTCCAAAAAAATGTATACTCACACTTTGAATAATATAAAGGCAGTGTTTATTAAAATACATTTGATTTTCATAATTGAGCTATCAGCTGTTAAAGTGTGTATTCATTTTTGGGGGACACCTTGTTTATTAAATTCCACTAATTTAATCAATAAAAGATCATTTATATCATCCATTATGCTAATTAAGAAGCCAATAATTACACCATTTTTAGTATTCACTATTTTAACTAATAAAACTTCTGGCTTCCTTTGCTTTAAGGAAGCTGGAGTCTGGGCCTTACCTCTATACTGAGACTCTTCTGATTAAATAATATGGAGTACCAATTTCTGATCAGGGCAACTGACTGACCACTAGAATTCAGTATAAATTAGCACATACTATTACCTTGTCTATACTGGATATTTTAAAGTAAATTACAACCTCTTAGCACTTCTTTCTAATCATTGTTATAGACCCAGCTCAAATGTTTCTTCCTGTGTGAAGCCTTGCCTGCCCACTGGGTTAGCTTTCCCACACCTGGCATGGCCTTGTCACTGCACCGACTAGTGCATTGTCATAGTATACTTGCTTCTCCTCCCTGGTGACTGTGAGCTTCTTAGACAATGGAAAGTTTTACCATGTATCCTTAAAACAGTATCCTGAAGTAGATTGTCAATACATGTAGTTTTGCTGAATGTGTGGATAAACAGATAAATAACAGACCCCTGGGTAAAGTGACAAAGTTGGCTGGGATGCTCAGGAGCCTACCAACTCTCCTCTACCCATTGCCCTTGGGGCCCTGAGGCCTTAGGTTGTCCTCTCCCACCCCACACTATGGTCACTCCAGAGAGCTCTATGCTCCAAGTACCACCACAGGCATGACCCTTTATAAGCCAGGTTCAAGAAATCATTAATTATAGAATAAAACTCCCATTGCTACAAAAGAAGGAATAAATTACTGCTCTTATCCATATTCATCCATTGGAAGAAAGGGGAGTTGACACATGATTTGGGGTTGGAGCTTCTCCTGGCATTCTGACTCCTCTCTCTGGAAAGAACTTGTCAATTCCCTCATCAGTTAAAATGGGGATGATGATGCCTACAGTAAATGTTATTTTGGAGATCAAAATTCGTAGCATCTGTCCAGCACCTTGTGGAGTGTCTGGCTCTCATCAGAGTTCAGCATGTCTCATGAACATGTCTCATTTTCATGTGCTTAGAACCATTTTCCCTAATTATCTGCTATGTACCTTTGAGGGAAAAACTTTTCCTCCATTTCCTGTCATGTAATTTACTGGGACCAGATCCCTGGGACCTACTGGACTCAAGCCTGTCCAACCATCTGACTTCCATCTGGAAACTTCAGTGATTGGTCAGGGGTAAGTCTACCAGAGCCTTTCCCTGAATTTTTTATATTCTGAAGTGAGGGAGAGAAGTCTTCTCCTCTCTGGTGTCACTAATCTGTCACTAAGAAACCAGGGTCTGCTAGCAACCACATCTCCCATTGAGTAGAGAAAGCCTGTTTGCAGTAGGTGAGAATAAAGCCATAGGAAGTGAAGCATCATGTGCTGAGGCTCAGTTTTCTAGGTGTACAATACATAGAGCCCTTGTACAAATTTCATGTTTTCAAATCATGAGGTACTCCATAAACATGAGCCCTTACCACCAAACGAGAGCACCTCAGGCACCAGGTCAAGTGCATTTGGGACATGGCCAAAACTTACAGGAGAGGCTGGGTTTTTGTTGTTTTTTGGGGGTTGGGGGTGGGGGGTTATGGAATCTAAGCTCTCTGTGAGAGAGGCTGAGCTGCAGCTTCCTGCTACCACATGTAGACACAAATTAGGATTTGACCCGTTTAGCACCTACTAAGAAAGATTTTGTTTGGTTTAATTCTGTTATTTTGTAATGCCTCTTCTCAGTCAGCACAGAAACAAAATCAGGAAGCCAGTCAATGCCACCGGGAGAGCCAGCTGCTTACAGGGCCTTATCAGGTCATTCTTCTGGATAATGAAATGTTTTCTGTTTGTGCC